AAATGCGGCAAAACTAATAAAACATCATCCATGTCACATGCAACAATAAAAAACGACCGCATAAAAAGTAGTCCCAACAAGCCATCTATTACAAATAAACTGATGACGCAGTGTAGGTACGAACGAGTATTCTGCCGATTCCAGCAATTTTCTGTCCTATACGGCGCCTACACGTATTCAGCCGAATTCAATTCTGGCCTCTCAGATATTCCACGTGCACAAAAATAGTCGATTCGGCTCCCGACCGGGATCGATGGAACTACGCCCTGGAAAAGATGGCGTAATATCACAACAGATGTCGACGACGGTTATGTCAACTGGCCGTCCATTCACGAAACTAATAAAAGATTCAGCATTGTCGTTTGGCCGAAAGAGGGTTCTTCCAAAGCATTGGCGCCCATTCCACGCGGTATGTACGACTCGTACCGGACCTTAGGCCGTCATTATCGCTGGATATGGTTTAGAATGAACATGACTGTAATCTCGCGCGTTATTCTTTTTTTTAGAGCGGCCCTTTTGTATTGGCGGTTTTTGTCATATTGGGCGGGAATGAGAATGGCCGTGTATATTGCTCTGTGTCTACATCGTGCAAATAGGATCCGAAACCGTTTGCAGCGCATTGAATATGTTTTCGCCTTTATAATAATGTAACCTGGATTCCAATTTATTTTGCGTACTTTTGTAATAGTCCGCTGACGTGTACCTAAGCCGATTTGCAACTTTCCTGGAACTATCATCACAAATGCATTGCTATTTTGGTTACAAAATAAAATTGTTGTATAAACTGTGACCCAAATTGGTCATGCCGAAACAATTCCCGGAAACCATTGTAAAACAAAATGCAATCATGTAAAACGTCGAAAAAAATGGCAAGAAATATGAGATCGGAAAGTTACAACATAAAGTATATATCAAATAGCAATTGGCAATTCGGGATAGAAAGGTTCGCCCTATAAAGTACGTGAGGCGGTCAAAAACAAACTTCTGCCATAAATAACCAGATCGGATAAGAGAAGGTACGCACTCAGCCATTTTATATTCAATAAAAAATGAGATAAACTAAATTGTCTTGCGATACAGTCGGTTACAGGATTTATGGGGACAGAACAATATTCATGTTTATTAAAAAGTTATCAGAGTATGGTCCTGAGTATGGGGCCAAACACTTGTGGAATACAAGCGTTCATATAGAGAAATATCGAAGAGAATAAATGTAATAAAAAGTGCAATAGCTAATTTATAGAAGAAAGGTACTTAAAATTTATGGAAAATGGTGGTGTCTTGAAAGAGTAAAGGGGCTTTGTACAAAATGTTCCAGTACTTAAATGGGAAATAATGCTTTCACGAGCCTTGTGAAAGGAATAAGAAAGTACTTGTGTAAATAAATATGTATACCTGCTCGAAGCACTTCGATAAATAAAGTGTTTTACAAAGGATATAAAGAACAAAGCAGATTCTAGGTAAGCGGTTGAAATATTGAGTAAGTATAATTATAATTAATTACAATTACCTACATATTAATTAATACGTTATATTTTGTTATTCTCAAAGGAAGCTGGATGAGTGAGTGTAGTAAAACCACATTTGACTTACATATGTTGTAATTTATTTGCTTTATAATTGACTACACGGTTGACGCGGTGGCCGGGCAACTGGTTGCCGTGCAAAGTATCGTAGGTTTGATAAATTCTAACATTGCAATGTGTTTTGGCACAGGAAAAGTCCAAAGGTGGGGCAACGTTTAATTAAAAAAATCTTCTGACCTTCAATTTTATAAAAAAGTATGTAGTATATAACTACATACCCTATTATTTCTAACTAACCAAAACTTGTGATACTAAATAAACAACAGTCTATTCAAGATCAGTGAAAAAAAATGTTCGAGCACCAAAGAGTTGGCGATCTCTCAAGACCCTCCAACAAGTTCAAGTTGTGTCCTATATCAGACCCTATTACTATCATTATTATCGCGAAGAAAACATATGGACATGTACATGAAACGCGTCTATGAAAATACTTGAAAAAATATAAGGAGAATTTTTATTATTTGTTTTACTGGTTTGTATTAAGGTGTTCCTTTTTATGGTTACTCTCCCGCCCTTAGTGTCAGATTCTTACTGACTAGAAACCAACTTTTGCCTTTTCGTGCTCCACTAACAAGACAGTCCCTCTTGCCCCACATGGGGGTGGAAAAGTGCCGGGGTTGCGGGGTAAGCGCAATGAGGCACCGCGACCTCGGCCCGGAGAAGGAGAAGGAACAGGGGAGTTTTTAGTCAGTAAGAGTCTGACACTCCCTCCCACCCGGCCCTGGGCGGGAGAAGTCATTTGATGATATTCCCCTCACAAAAAAGGGGGTGGAAAAGTCATTTAATTTTGTTCCCAACTCAAAAACTCCACTGCATTCACTAAACATTCAACCGCCTACCACAAAGCATAATCGAAAAATAAACGTGACGTCACTGTTCTAACCTTCCCAAAAATGTTATTATTCCCCTGGACAAGGGTCAGGGCCTCCAGAAGAGATTAAAAACATTATTTACCCATGTATATGCGTAACTAAGCCTCAAAAGTTTTATATTTGTGACAAGGGCTTGGGAACATGGACTATGTGGTTCTGCTAGCCATTTGAATGGTTATGACCGAAACGATTTCCTTTGAGGACCGGCAATATACTTTAATTAATTAGAAACACGCACTTTCTTGAATAAACTTCGACATTTGTATGTTGTGAGCGGATTTGTATTTCGTAATTTTTGGTGGAAACCCTTATATGACTAAGGTTAAGTTATGAAAGAAATGTTTAAGTATCTTTATAAGGAGGTCCAAACCAAGGACCTTTTTTGTAAAGAAAATATCTATGTTAGTGTCTACAAGGAGTATATACTCTTGGATTGCTCAAAGTATAAGGCTCGCCATGTTTTATTCGAAACAATTTAATTTATTTATCAACCTATCATTCCTTTTTCAATGTAAGGACTCTGTTAATATTCCATATTGATAAGAGAACCCGTTTTCCGTACATTGAACCGAATCGTTCTATTCCTGGGAATTTGTCCTTTAACTGATTCATCAAAGTTTTCAGAAATCGAACAAAACCGACTTTGCAAAGTGTGTAATGAAAGAGTTTTGTGTATAAATTCAGTAATGAGGTTGTCACATTTCAAAGATTAAAAATATGCCCAAAATTGTATTGGCAATAAATATTTTTACCTATGGCGTTGTATGGACGTCTCTTTATTGTCCCAGGTTTTGATAATTAACGCTCTTGTAGATTCCTTGCACTGATAGCCTTAAATAGGTAAAGCTTACTGAGTCCAGATTTTGAACAGATATCACCTCCAGAAAATTTCTAAAACAGAACGCGATACCACCACATGATGTTATCAAAAAATTTTACAACAAAACATTAACCATTTGCCGTTTAGTATTTTACAAAAGTAACGCTAAAAGAAAATAACTTCGATCACAATAAAAGAAATGGTTACAATTCAGTTATTTCTCATCCGATAAAAACCTTTCGACGCGTCAAAACAAAAGATTACAATATTGGTTTGCAACGTTTTTAGAACAACCAAAAATCGAATGAAAGTCAATTTCCCGTTGGAAATGATGTCCGACGTTTTGTTCCGGGCCTTATTAGGAACGAATGACAGCTGAATTGGTTTGAGACAGGCGGCCGAATGCTCGCTTCGGCTCGAAGCGAACGTGCAAAGGCTGCGCAGTGGTTTTGGCAAAGATCTGCTTCCCGAAATAGTTGAAGAGTTGAACACAGTAAGCGGTTTATATTTGGAGCTCCGATTCTAATCGACGCTTTGAACTTTTTCCTCGAAATTTTTAACCTTTGATTTTTGAATATTCTTTCAACCAGAATGTTTCCTAAAAATTTCCTAGTTTTAACTTACAATTAATATTCGTGGAAATAATGGTGTGATTTACTGGTAGTATGGAATTTTAATCGGCGGAAAGTTTCATTTTTGTTTTAAACCCAACTTCTTTTAGCTTTGATACCAGGAGGTGAAAATAGATTCAGTCGTAATTCTAGTCTAGACGAGGATCGTTAAAGCCGTATTGACACATTTTAACGCTAGACACACATGTACAGGATAACTTTACGACACACTTCGAGCAGACCTTTTGAAAATATGGCTTATATTTTGGTAGACATATGAAATGTTAAGAGGTAAAAATCATTTTAGGTGACTATTTTTTTATATGTATAATTATTTTCTGTCAATAGTTTTAATGAATGAGTGAATAGGTAAAAAAACATATTTTCATAAAAAAATTGCAATGTCTGTAAAAGGTTACTAAGTATCATAATCATGGCAATAAAAAAACCTTTGACCTTGACTTTTTATCACGATTTTGCTGATAAAAATATCAAATGTCAAGTATGACGTATTAGTGTCTCTGTTAATTGTTCCAATTGATGCAATAAAATACAAATTATTATAATTAGACTAAAGCATCGCGTCACGTACTTTTATACTGCAACTAACCTTAATTGACTGCATGTATGAGTAAATAGTATATTTTTAAAACATCATAATATATTCGTTCGTTATATCTATAGTTACATATTGTTCCCTCTCTCTGTCTCTCTCTCTCTCTCTCTCTCTCTCTCTCTCTCTAGCTATCTCTGTATCTGGTTCATAATATACTTATTAAACACTCCATAGGTATATTTGATAGCATTGTAATGATATAAGTACTATATGTTACTTGTCATACATATATTTTTACCTTTTTCAGTTTACCTTCAATCCTTGTTTTATTTCCTTTGACTTTAAAATTCAAGGAAGTTTTATTCATCTGCAACAATAACTCATACTGTACCTTTTTCAACAAGCTAATAAAACAAACAAGACAATCCATAAAAACTGCAGCTAATTAAAAACGAAAATGGTGGCATCAATAAAAGTGACATTATTAAAAATAATAAAACACTGGCACAATGCCAGGGACGGTGTCAATAAAGTGTAATTTATAAAGTTATGTGTCTGTGGTGGTGTCTCTGGTCGTGTTCATTATCTGTGCGATGTAAAGGAGTTTGGTAGCGATGGGGTCAGTGATGTGGTTGCGGTTGCTGGTGATGCTGGCTGCATGCTGGGCACAGGAGGGCGAGTGGAGCGAGGATGCTGAAGACCTTGGTAAGACTATTTTTGAACATTTACCATCATAGTTCAGTATTATTTACGTAAGATTCACTGTAATATCAGCTTTCCGCCTTGAGTAATAGAGTCTTAAACTACCTACACATTAAAAATAAGAAGAAATGATTACAATATAATAATAATAAATGGTAATTTTTGGGGTATCAAAATTACATGAACAAGCGTAAACTTAACAAGTTAATGAACTAAATATGTGTGATCATTAAAACCTTTAGGTTTAGGTAACATGTTTTAATAATATTACAAATACACTAATGAGAATTAAAACTAAATAATAATTTTATTCAACAAATATACCATAAAAATTAACACAGTGTTATTGGGAAGCCTGTTTCCTAAAAAAACATATTATTAAAATTAACGATTATTGAAATGAGATTTTTATCGCTTTGCGTGGCGCACCTCACAGCGAATCGCTGAAGCGATCGAATGAAACAAAATCGAACAAACTCAAGTGGGAATCGCGCTCAACCCATTAAACGCGATTGCTTGTCGAAAATGAAAATGGGGAAATATATTTTCGTTTGTTCGACGGATCGTTGTTCCGTGTTTTTTGTCTGATTTTTATGCAATCCGTCGGGAGCTGCGTTTACACGCAACAAATTGCTCACTTTGATATTTGATTGAGAGCGTTGAACGTAACGTGTTGGTCCGAGCGTACGTAATGGTTACAAAGGAAACTTTTAAACGAATGAAACGCAAAGATGAAACTTACAAATACGAAGTATAATAGTTATGGGACATTGGGACCTTTGATTTCACTAGTCCTTCGAGGCCTCTAGACGAGATCCGAAGTTCTCGAGTGGGAACCCTATTTGTTGGCAACAATACTCGTTCATATCTTGGCGGTAGAGAGAAGTGCCTGAATGTAAACGAGAGACTTGCTCAAGTTCGATTTCTCGTTTCGATGCCTGCGAAAGAAGCAACAAGAGCGACCCAATTAAAAAGTGTTCATGCATGGGTGGCTCTATTCGACTCCAATTTTATTGGAACGATTAATTTTATTGCGAAAATTTCTGGACAGCGAAACGAATGAAACGAAAGTCGGCTGAGGTGGATTCAGCGACCTTTTTGTGGTCGCGAAATGGATGGGTTGTTCAGTACCGAATCTAATCAAAGGGCACATTGCTGAAAAAAGTACTCGCACCCTCATTGTTACCGTGATGAATGAATTGAAATTTTAATGTAATTGGATATCAGCGATGATTGAGCGCGTCTGATGCCGCCATGTACAATGTGACAATAATAAATATCTGCCACTAGATATATTGGCTCGTCAGCCGCGATTTATTATATTTTTTCTTGCTCGTTTTATTTGGGTCTAATGAAGTGTATTCTCTGACTACAGAATGCGAATAATAATATTCATTGCTAGTTAATTGCTATTATAGAACTACAACGAATTACTTGTACAACAAGGGTAATTTGTATGAGCACAAAACCTTATTACGTAATAAATCATTACTACAGTGAGTTGAAGTAAGAAAACACAGCACATGCTCGTTAATGAAAGTGCAAATTATTTGTTAGCGTCATGCTCGCGAGTTCAGGTTGCGGTACACTCGCGCACACTGACGCTGTCAACCCAATACTCAATGCGCTTGTGTTCGTAACTGTACACGGCAGTACCACTGTAAACTTACTAACGAGTCATTCGTAGAACCCATAATGTCCGTGTTGACTTTTATTTAGCTCATAGCTAAATATGAAGCTAGCTTGATTTTCGTGGAAAGCTACGTACGTGGAAGTGGGAAATGACGACGAAATTCATATTGAACTTAAATGGAGTAATTTTAAATTAAATTGTAAAGCAAGAAATTCGAAAGATGTAGTACGTTAGTATTCTTGGGAGGTTTTTTTACTGAGTATGAATATTATAGTATAAGCTGTTACAATGTTCATAATTTTCTGTCGAGGTAGGTACTTGTACTTGTGTGGTGTAATCGACAACAGCGCAGTAGTTGGCGTGTGAGTCGAGTAGGTCAGGCCCGAGGCTCGCGACGTGTCTCCACAATAATTTTATTAATATTACCCCCGGAAGCCTGTCACGCGCGAAACAACCGCTCGTATATCTTCGGAGTCTGCGAAAAAATATGATATATTGAGAGAACGAGAGACGTAAGAGCTTTTCTTAGCATCCCTTCGCGGAGTTTAGCGTCTTTTTAGTGTACTTGAGTACGACGTAGGGTTTTACTACACCTCGAAATATGAGTAAGTATCTTGAAATAGAATTAGTAGCTTTTATTCATATAAATTCTACAAGTCGTCAACTAAATGAATTTGTAAAATGAATACGAAAGCAAACATTCTAAGGTAGGGTGTATTACTAAGAAATGCTAAGAACTCGTCAAGAAAATCTTGAATATTTCCATCATCTGTTTCAGCTTTATGTATACCGGCACGACAAGAATTGATCAAAGGCCTAATTTTGCTGCACGTGAAACATACTTGTGAAGGAATTGGAACCGAACAGTGATAGTTTTAGGACACATTTTAGCTTAAGTTGATATGAACAACTTTAATCACTACATTTCTAGTTATGCAGCAATAATAATTTTACGAGCTGTGGTTTGGCAATAATTAATATCCGTCTATATTTATAGCAGGTTGCATGTAGAAGCATTTTTTATTCATTCACGTTATTCTTTATAGTTATAACCATTCGTCAATGTAGAACAATATTATCAGAAGTGAAGTTACCATATGAAAATTATTTATCTATAGGTTTATTTAGTTCAACACTTTAATACTAAAATAATAATGTTTTTTTTTATCCTATAAGCAAACTTGCTTCGATATTATTTTTTGATTCTTAAATGTACGAAATCGTTATGTCCCACGATATTTTTTTATGTAATATGTTGGCAAACGAGCTGATGAATTATCTGATGGTAAGCAATGAACACCGTCCATGGACACTTGCAACACCAGGGAAGTTACGACTGCGCTGCCGGCCTTTTGACGATTAAGGAATCGGGGAGGGCTTGGAGAAGGGTAAGGATTGAATGGATTTGGTCCGAATTCAATGTACCGTCAAAAATATTTGATTACGTAAGCAACGAAAAACACACACAAACGGGTCCAATATACCTATAATAATCATTAAATAAAGCAATATCGGTAACGATAACAAAAACCGTTCTTCAATAAAAAATGTAATTTAATCTCACTTATCCGTGGATTTTTATCATTCAGAGTTCAAAACGCATTAGACAATGGAGTTAAATATTCAGATCGCGTCGTACATTAAACGCGCACAGATTGGTGAGGGCCATACGTGGTGGCGTGTCGTGACATGCCGCCACCCCTCATCTGGCCACATTCGGCACCGCAGTAATGAGTGCCGCAATTCTTTAGTGCCGTCCAACACGACACAATCTATGCCACCGTTATAGCCCACCATTACACCACCGAACCACTAATATAATATAATTTATATTTCCGATACATTATGCGTGACATTCTACGTCAAAACTTGAGGCTTTGTCAGAACAGCTTTATTGTGGAATTATTCCAAGTCAAACTCGTGACATCGAAATAAAGGGGCGGGACCGATTTGGAATTTCATTTCTCTGCTCTTATCTTAATGCGCGGAGGCGTCGCGTCTCGTCTTGACTAGCTGGGATCGCCTTTTTTCTTTCGCTTTGTTTACATCAAAACTTTTTCAACATTTCTTCAACACATTCACTTCGAGATAAAAATATTTTATCACTATCAATAAAAAAGAATTCGCATTCTAATGTTCCTTTGTGTACACAACTTTTTTGTTACACTAAGCCGACTTAACTTTATGAAATTAACACTTTCAATATATTTTGGGGTCAGTTAACTTAATAGGAAACTACTGAAATTCTCTCTCACGTTTTATACTCCACTTTACCACGAAATTCACTTAGGTAACGATCAACTAAAATAGAGCCGGTACGTAGTAAAGATTGGTTGATAAAAAACATATTATGGTTTTAGCACAGTTGTATTATAAATAGCGACAAGGCTCAAGGTTAGTTCCCTTGGTAAGGGCTATTCTACATAATTTGTCTAGGACATAAAAAAGTTACGCAACATACATATCGGGGGCACAATACCTCTTGGGTCTTCAAGCAAATTGATACCCGACTGGCACCGCGAGACCAAGTAATCCGTCTTTATTAGGGTAGTCTTCGCACTGAGTAAATTGAAAATTCCTTCTAAGTATGACTGATGGTGTACATTACTTGGCCCCAACACGTTGACAGTTTTTCCTCAAAGAAAAGAAGATTATTTCATGCGGTGTGGAAACGGAGCGTTTTAATATTGCGTCTATTTATATTCATGGGCTCTTTATCGCCTCGAGAAAGGGAAGCCAGGAATCGTAACGATGTAAGTACAGAATAACAGTGATATTCACTTAAGCATTCTTTTTCTTGGAGTTATACGGAGGCGGGGCTTGTTACTCGAGCCGGGAGCGCGGGCCATGAATGTTTTGTGTCGACGATTTGGGGTACTGAAATTAGCTTTCGTCTACTGCGCTGTTCAAAGGTATGCATGCATTTTAATCTAACGAGTATCTCGGCTGGTTTGAAGCTTGTGGGACAACAGTTTCGGTGATATTGTTTAACAAACGATGTGTATTGACTAGAGCCTATGAACAAACAAAACAGTGAATAAAATTATAGTTTTTGCTAAAAAGGATTTTCGTGATAAGTTCACGTCGACTACGTCATGAGGAAGGCTCGTAACTCGTATTAAATTTAACAAACGGAAGAGGTTGTATGTATGAGAAAATTCTTGGTGTAATTTACGTCGCTTATAGTATAATTATGGCACAGGAGGGCCGACTATTGAGGGATACAGAGAGGCTTAAGACTGTATTATAACATGTTATAACGTGCTCACTATGAACATGTTGGTTCCACTACTGAGGGTACGAAGGGTGCAGGGATAATGAAAGAAATAATGAGGATCAGAAGCTAAAAGGAACAATATGCGACCCTCTATAACAGCTAGATTTAAAATTAATTAAAGTTTAACTAAGATGTCTGGGAAAGGTAAGAAGCCGTTGAGTTTGACGAGTTGATAGGTACCGTCCTTGATCCAATAGCCGAGGCACTCTAATTAAAAACTTACTGAAGGTAGTTCAAGTTTGAAAACTATATTGAAGTATCTATACACATAAGATTCTCCATACCGATATAAAATAGAAGACAAATACGCCGAAGTTCCGATTTTTACTCATAACTTAATGACGAAAAGAAAACTACAAGGGGCTACTCAATAAAAAAATTAATAAAACAACTGGGTGAAAAAATTGAAAACATTCCTAAAATGTCGTACTTCGAAATCGTAGTTTGCTCAGTAAATCATAAAAAAAAATATTCTGACAAATAACACAGACATTTGCTAAATGGATGGATTAAAAACTTTTCGTCAGTCACTCGTATGTCTGCATGGCTCATCCAGCATTTTTATTTCGGATATTCTCGTTGCCCGGTCGTAGTTCTTTTTGTCGATCCATTTTTTTTATTCCACCGAACAGCAAATTAGATTTTTTTCCCCGATTTTTGTAAATTTCAACATTGAGTTCATTTATTTGAAGTTAGTTCATTGTAGCAGTCATTAAATAAATTGGTGCCTTTGTATACCTATATATCTGGCTACAAAGTTAAATTATGTTAGTTCATGTTTATATTTCAAGTAAAGTAGGAGTAAAGTGACATAAGATTCGACCTTTGCCTAGTTTAAAGGTAAAATTTTTAGATAGCGAAAAAGTTTTTTATTACCTATAAACTCATCACTTAATGAAGTAGAAATGAAAATTGTCTCTAATCTGTGTTAATCCAAAATAAATTTAATCTTTGTTACCTAAAATCTAATTTTACTAAACTTGACATTACTATTTACGACTGACTATTAATACTATTATGTTTCCATTGTTGCAGTGTCGACGGTGGATGTGGACGCGGTGCTGGGTCGTACAGCGTCACTCCCTTGTGACGTCACACCTGACACTAATGAAGACAGGGTCTACATGGTACTGTGGTTCCGAGCTGGAAAGGCCACAGGCGGAAAACCTATATACAGGTATTAAATAAAGCAGATACATTACAATGTCTGATAACATTACCTGATATACGATGATATTACCTATTATAACAAAAAATATTTCGTAAACATTTAAAAACAAATATACGAGTATCATACCACTCAAATTTATTAAACCATAAAGTTTATAATCATTACTAAAATAGAGACACACATTACCGTTTAACTCAAACGATTACTCATTTTGCTCGTAGCGCTACGCGACTACGAGTTTCGCTACGAAGTGCTACGTAGTTCGTAGCGTCATTGCTACGTGTTATCCGTATTAATTTGATGTTGATTAATTATTATTGTTGAACTAATCATAGTATGCAAATAATAATTATTGCTTTACTGATTATATTAGCAATTACAACACTGTGTTAAGATTGGATATTTTAGTATCATCATCGGAGTATTACAGGTATAGTTACAAAGCAATTTTCTGTTGGATCCCCAATTTATATCGGGTTTTAATGTAATATTAATCTATTTAAAAAATAAAATTTTAATGGATTTAATTAAATGATATAACATATCTCATTATGTAACAAGCTAGGTAACTTTAAGCTTTTGTAAAATGTTGCTCTTTTAAATTTTCGATGTTGTTACATAAAAAGCGTTCGAACGAGAATGAACGGAGACATCGATAGAAGGCTCCCAAGTGGACATACATACGTCAGCCAAATTGGCGACGTATTGAAAAAGGAAAAATTAAAAGTGCTTGCAATTGGCGAACACGAATGGAGAGATTGATGAATATCGTGAAATAAACGATGGGAGATTGCCAGTTTGCATTCAGTTCGGGTTCAGTATCTTCTGTCTATATAAATATGTAAATAATTAAGCTTAATTTTTTTGTTACTATTTGATTAATGGATAAAATATCACATCCAATTAAGTCACTTTAATACTCACAATTAATCCCTAAAGGGATATGCAGAAAATTAACAATGTATTACCCACTTTTTCACTAGGAACGTAATTATTGCCACGTAATAAAGAATGATCCTATTGCCGTATATACTGTTGGTTCGGTTCTAAACTGTGTCTTACCACATAAAAAATACTATATAAGAAAAAAGTTCCTATAGTACTTTTCCAAACTCTTTTCCACCTCCACTCTACTAACGTGACAGAAAGAGAAAAAATTTACACATAGGTTATACTACTAACATATTTTTACATAGTGCAACCACAATTAATTGCCTATAGAACGGTGGAAGTGGCACAAGCCTGCGGCATGAGATAAGCCTGTCAATCCAAGACATCAATCATCCTTTGACAAATTTATGTGATTTCGACACTAGATCTTGAACATTGGCCATGCCCAGTACAGCATTGAATACATGCCAGTATTAAACGCTGTCATATTGTGACTATGTGTTAGGTATCCATTTCAATTTGTAAAATGTATTTAGGATATGTTCATTTATTATTAGTTTTCTAAACAAGAAAGATATTACTGGTTTTTCAATATTATAAGTATCCAACTGCTAACAACAAAAAAAAAAATGGCACAGTTATTTGACACGGTGTCCAATATGTTTTAAGTGAATTTTTCAATTCACAAAATCCTAATTCAATAATCTTTACTGATACGTTTTGCCCAAAGGAGATCACAATGGAAGCCTTATTTCCGAAATATATATATTCAAGGTCAATGGTGCCGGTTACACAGCGGTGTGGTAACTTATAAGTACAGAAAAGTATATTATATTTAGTTACTAAGACAAAAGTCAAAAGTCAAAAATCATTTATTCCAATTAGACCATTACTGGCACTTTTGAACGTCAAACAAAATTTTGAAGATATTGTGTCGGTCTGTCGGTTTGTCCTCTTAGTGAAGCTATTTGCTCGTTCCAAAGTGTAGATTCCGATAGAGAAGAACAAGCAAAAATATCCATGGTTACTCTTTTTAAATAAGTTTCACAATACAGATTCCCTATAGAAACAGTTGTTTCAATTATGACACAAACATAACACTGAACCACCTTGTTCTATATAATTTCTCTAAGAATAAAGTAAATCCGCAGAATAACATAAGCAACACATTACCTTACCTAGGTATACACTTAATCTGATGCTCAACAGAATCATGTTCACATTTCCGTTATGAGATAGCACGCGATCTCATTTTAGTATCCACACGTAAAAGATTTCTCCTCCACCATAATACTTTGCACTATTTTCACATGAATAAACGTTATAGGATCAGAGTTTCTTAAGTGTAAATAGAAAATTGTTATCATTTTAGATTTTGGTAATAAAATGTTCTTTACATTTTAAAATCTTTATGTGTGTGTATAGCAGAAATTGTCTTATGGCATCCAGTGATGCTATTATCATAATATTGATAATAATTAAACTTTATGATAAGATACAATTTAAATTGAATTCAGTGGTTTACGATTACCTAGTATTTATTATCAGGTTTTTTATTTTAAAGTGATGTTATAAATAACATTAATTTTCAATATATACTTATATTAATTCAATATATACTTGAGTATTAAAAATAAAATACATTATTTACATCTGTTCCACGCGGCTTTATTAAGTAATACATACATACGAGTACATCCCACGTAATAATTTCACATGTACACAAAATACAATTACAACCCACATCGAATTAATGCAAAAAAGGATCGATTGAAAAAAGAAAGCAACCCGTCAGAAACAATTGGATCATGAATAAATAAAGGAAAAGAAAAATCTTGTACGAAAAACAAAGGGTGGTTTCCAAGATTGTGTTACAGGTTCCTGAAGCAAATACATTTACACTAATGTCGAGGTAAATATGAAATATGAGTGGGAAGACAAAATTTTTGGATTGATTTACTGTAGCCGTCGGTAGCCGGATCTGCGGGAGATAGGGACTTCCGTACCACAGATACACGTTACAAAGCCAGGGCTGCGTTAGGAGGAAAAATGTATTGAACGATTTTGTTTTTTTATTACTCGTTTTTCAATCTATTTTTTATTTAGCCTTTTTTCTGAGGGGTAGAAACCGTGTCATATCATTTTACAAATTAGATACATTCATGATCAAATTTACACAAGGAAACTTAATACATGTACTAAATAAAACAAAGTAAAAACACTTCACAAAGTACGGTATTTCAATTACTTTTTTTTTTTTTGAAGCGAATGTAGTAAGCCCTATTTTGAAAACCTTCGAAAGACGCTTATCTTAGTGTGGCGAGCAACTAGGGAGTCTGGATTTTTTACTTCAGGAAAATCACCTCAGTGACCACCTGTAAAGGGCAACCGAAACCTCTTACAGACTAGCTCTGGATCCTTTATAGGGAAATGGATTTTACGGCACATGCCTAGGGGACTTTTGTAAGCCTACAATCTAGTCTACTTATTTTTTTATTTGATTAAAAGGCTTTTTTGCTTAGCAACCACATATCGCTCCAGTCTATTTAGTTTTAGTTCTTTGCTAAATCGTTCTCAATCGTTTGAAAATATATTGAGAGGTGTAGTAATTCAATCTATTTAAGCTGTGAATTTTCAAATAATTTTAACGTTTCTATGTATAAATAATAAGTAGTACTTGAAAAAAATTATACTTGCAATAGATATACATTACTTACCAAAAGTACAAAACGAAGACATCCCAACCAATTTGACAAATTTGATAAGATACAATATGATAACTTTGCACTCTTGGGAGTCCGGGAAAAATCGTAAGAATAAAATAAATATCATCTAAAACTTCAAACAGACAACCCTACAACTTACACGAGTGACCGACTGATACGATTGGAATTTGAATCAATCCAATTCCGTCCATATTTTAGTTGGACTTGAGTTCATTATCGAACGAACACAGTTGAAGTGGATTGAAATATCCGATCGAGATCACGTTGGGAGCGGACCAGGTAGTATTCATATTTAATGAAGTTGTACGTTTGTCATACAAAGATATCCGCATTGTTACTGTTTATTAAATCAGTTTTTGATTGAGAGAACAGATCATTTTTCTGAATCGATTAAGTCGTCAAATTAAATCGACGAAAAAGGCGGGAGATGCGTCTTAGATAAGGTGAGAAGGACTGTCAGACTCTTACTGACTAAAAGCCTAAAAATTACTCCTTTTCTTGTCCAAGTCTAAGCTGGGGCACACTGGCAACCCTGCAACAGAGCATAGTACAAACTCCTTGATGATTATGGTAGAAGAGGATAAATTAGTCATAGCAATGATTAATACTCTTATAAGACTAGCTGCCGTACCCAGAGACTTTATGGTTTTTAGATATTTGACGATTAGGGGATTAGTGATTGTGAATTGGAGGGAAGGATTGGGCCTCCTCCCACCTTACTTACAGGGCAAACATTGTGCCGATATTCTGTTATAGTGGAAGACTGTGTAGATAGCAGATACATTAAAATACCACATGTATCCATTTCTGCAATTCTCAAAAGCATATTTCAAAAAGTGCTTTCGGAATAAATATTTGCTAGTAGATAATATTATATTTCAACCGATTGCTGAGTGCAATATGTACTTATTTCTACAAACTGAGCTCTTTGAAATTTTCGCATCGAGCGTTTGACCATTTGGCTCCGACACCTAGGCTTTCCTCGATTTTTCTAGGTCATTCAGTGACCTCGTTCTGCTAAATCTCTCCCTCTATTTATAACTACGTGTTCTATTTAAATTGTTATTTTTTTCTCTTATGTTTTATTCAATCTTAATTTCCTTAAACTTTGTAAAGCAAAAACAGTTTTGGTCACTTAGCTTGGTATATTTTGAACACAAAATCACTTGATGAATACCCGAGTTGTCCCAAAAAGTTAACTTATTTAACCTACTAGCTTTTGCCCATGACTTCGATCGCGTGGAATAGTGACTTCCTCCAGATTTTTGGTTTTTCCCACACAGTTCGCGATCTCGCTGGATTTTCGGGATGAAAACTATTCTATGTTCTTCCTCGAGTTCCAAACTATGTCCGTACCAAATTTCACACAAATCGATTCAGTAGTTTAGG